CACTCGTTCCATGTTCGATCGTTAGACAATGTATGAGAACGAAGGAGTATAGGTCTTAGCTTCTGAACCAACCAGGCGGACTCGAGCGCATCGTTGTAAAATTTAGATGTATTCATTACCCATGGTGGACAATTAATACTTATATTACCAAGTGCTTGAACACGCCAGTATATGTTCAGCCTTACTTCTATGTTAAATAATGTGCCAGTCCGAGGTGGTCTTTAAATGATGATGCAAATGGCAAGATCAAAACAATCTTTGAATAAGAACAAAATTGAGGAGATAAATCAGAAATTAGGTCATAAAAATAAGATATTATCAGGTGTTAGGCCTTGTGAAATGTACTTAGTCAAGTGTTCTCTGCCATAGTATTAGTGATTTCCAGCATCAGACTTTGTACATTCGCAAATGTTTCGCCGGCATCGTTGCTAAGAGGCGCTATCGTTAGCACAAAGTTACAACTTAACTTGAGCTACTTGATTGGAAAAGGTTTCCGAGCGTAGAAGAAAGGCCAAAATACGGAGAAGGATAAGTAGAGACTGAAAGTGCCTCGGCCGAAAATATAGTGCCTTTTTCTTAATTTTGTTATTTACGAAGAACTATCCTATTGAATATAAATTTGCAGATGGCCTTCACTTGCCTATACAAATCAACATTTTAACGTATAAGCAAGAAAGAGATAATTGTTCCTTGTACTCCTTGAAATAGGTAAAAAGTAATTTCGTATTATAACGAGATAAAAATAATTAGGTGTAGCAATTTATTATTTGTATGCCAGCTAGGATAAAGTGATTGTAAAGTAGTAAATGTGCCCCTACTCTTTTTACGTAGCATGCCAACATTTCTGAAAAATTCTTTCAGTAAGGATAAATATGCCTCTCTGGCTTTCCTCCTTTACAAATATTATATGAGGATTCGCACTGATTTTCATCCAAATATAAAACGGATTCAATCTTATATGGGCCCTAAGCAATACACTACGGTCTGGCATCTATCTCGGCCAATTCTGACAGTAGTTGCATATTTGGCTATTTTTAAGACTAATTGAGCTTGTGTGGATATAAGGGATCCTTTCGCAAAACGTCACCCTGGACCGCCGGTTAGCCTCATTTTAACTTTTCATGGAATATCAACCGACTGTTCATTTGACTCAGTAGAATGGACCTAACGAGAATAAACCATCAAAGGATTAGGCCACTTGGTGCGATTCTGATTATGCCTTAAGCAAAGAAAGAAATATCAAGCGGATGGATGGGAATGGATTTGCAATCTTCCATATTTGCTGAGAATAAGAAATCATTTTGTCTCCAGGAGTGGAAACGATAACAATGACCAAAGTGTATATAAGAAGGACCTTATTTGATTAAACTAAGAATCTCCTTATGCCACGTTTTCATGAGAAATAAAGACAGCTCAATATTAATCAAGGCATCAAGCTGGAACCGGTTTCTGATTTAAAAGGCGAACTATGATGGGAATTAGCAGGTTATATAAATTGATTTTCACTTTGGTAATAGACTTGTCATTAGAGAATGTAACTCGGTACTAAGGATGCAGTTTCTCAATGATGCTACTGTCTATTATGCAGGCGAAACGTATGGAAAAGCAGGTATGAGGCTGGAACAAAGAACACATTAGGAAGTCAATTATTTGAGGTCCCTCAGAAATCACGAAAAGCCTATAAATGCCTTGTCAGTTCAGCAACTGGAAGTGCTCTTCTCACTGTGATGGGAGATGTAGTAGCAAAGCTAAGCCGACTAAAGATGTGAATGCAAGGACTTCCATATTGGAAACGTGCCTAGCCTAAACAAAAAAAGCTCATTATATAAGGGCCAAACTAGAAAGACCTTGATTAAGTTTCTCTAAATCCAATAAGTTTATCGTCATGGAACTCGATAAAAACCAAAAATAACTTACCTAATTGGAACAAGGAATATATCCAAGCCGAGTTTGAAGTAGAGATAAAATAATTTTTTTTAATACGAAAAAAAATGAAAATTTAAAGAATAATCTAAGGTAATAAAATTGTTTCCATTTTTCGCCTAAGGTAAAACATGCCAGTAAAATATCTAGTTAGAGATCTCAAAGTTGAGACGTGGAGGAACAAAATCCAGCTTTTTTCCAAAATATTAAAGGAACAATCTCATTTTACATAGTTAAAATAATTTAAAATCGAGATAACCCAGTTAAAATTTTTTTAATCCTCGAAAACGCAAACAAAGAGAGGGTAAAGAATAATCCTGATGACAAAAAATGCATAAGAAAGTGTTAGAAGCAATAGTTAAGAGTTCCAATCACCCTATGCCACAAAAGGTGATCTAGTACTGATAGTAAAATTTTTCCACGATGATATCAATAGGCCTCACGCTTCCCTCGAAGTTTACTTGGCCTTGCTTCCCAAAAGAAATTCTCATCCAAGATGAACTGCAGTTTCGACCTCGATCGGGTCTTATCGGACCCGGATAATGCAATATATAATCGCGACACGTTAACACCAAGCAACACTACCAAGAGTGCCCCTGGGCCAGAAGAGGACAGAAGTTGTGACATTGAAGAGTCCGAGCCTTCGTTGAAATTAACGTCTGTCCTGCGACACACGAACATTAGTGGAATTGTGGCGTGATGGTAACGTGCTGAGATGATACGCTGCCATATCCAGGTTTGATTCTCACTAGAGATGATGATGAGGCCTGGGCTAGGTCAAAAGGACAGTTCACCTCAAATAAGAATAACTTTTGAGAAGCAAGGCTAAATGAAATTCAATGGAAATGTGAGTTTATTCATATCATTTCAGGAAAATTCAACAATCAGTCCTTCATCGTCTTATACGATTCAGGATGACTGGAACTGTCATAAAAGATTTTCTCGTGGTTTCGAAGCCTACTTTATATAAATATAGAAACACTGGCTCTTTTTAATTTTTCAAAATCGGTTGCAAAAGGTAGCAATATGGGGATGAATGGGCTGATAAAATTATCTTTACAAACCATAGCTTTTATTATGCGGAGACGAAGGATATGTTATTTTGCATCGCCTCCAATATTAGGACTGTCAGTATGAGGCTAAACTTGGCCCATAAATTCTTCGAAACGCTGGTTTAAATGTGCTTAAACTCTCATTGTAAATCTATATGGATAAAAAACAAAACAGAGGATAATATTAGAACCTATAGAAGTGTGCTGTATCATAGTTTAGCTTACTTTCGAAAAGGTATATGGGCTATATGAAGTGGGGTCGAAAGAAAGAGAAGCAGCACTATAAAGAAGAATAAAAATAGGGGCGAGGAGTGATGTTACAACGGTCGAACGGAAAATCGGTCAACGGGATTGCCTACTCTTGTCATTGATAAATTGTAACTATGCCCTTACGCTGACGCCTCTCACTGACGATGCAAGCGAAACGTTTGGGAATGTTTAAAATCAATGATCCGATGCTAGAAATCAGGAATACTATGAGTTCTCCAAATCTCCCTAAGGCTCCAACCAAGTTGCGAAAAAGGGGTCGAGCCAACGTTACACGATTAAGTTGGAATGAGCAGAGATAATAGCGCATAAACACTCCACTAATAAGCACAGACATACCTTAGCAATAGAGCTTTAACTGGAAGTTAAAAACGGAACATATGAGGTAAAGCCCCAAGTAAAATACACGAAACTAAACATCGGAAAATGTCGAGAAAAATATAATTACTGAGTGACGCCTATTCGTGAGAGAGCCTGAGCAGTGGAAATCAGACAGGCGTCGAGGCGCCGAGCAACGATGGTGGCAGAAGAATCGGAAGTATAATGGGAGGGTGAAGGAGTTAAACGAAGGGCCATTTGCGAAAGGCTGGCGAAAATAGCAGGAACATCCTCGAGAGGCAAACCGGTGTTACTGTTTGCTGCCTGATGGGGAAATTTAAAATAATAAATAAAATATTAAAGACATGAAAAAAGTGAATATGCAATAAAACAGATAAGAAGGTACTTTTGAGGGACATGATGGAATTGGTTTAAGAAAAATAAAGCTTTTTTTAACTCGCTATGATCCATGAAATGCAAAATGGTTGGGAAATCTGGTCATTAATTTATGCCCATAACGACTACTAACCATACTAGATAGCTTTAGGGCTAGATATCGTTTAACATATCAAAAAACGTGTAGGACTAGACAGAAAGAGTGTTCATAAAAAATTATCTGAGTCGGATGAAGAAAATACCTCTTGTGAGCGAAGTAATTCCAATAAAAGTGAGGTATCGCTCATGTGATTACAATCGAACTGAAATAGCTCAAGTAAATCCAGACTAATTAATTTTCATTTACATTATTTCCTGTACTCAGCAACCAATCCATCATCGTTATCCAACAATATACCCAGGAGCCTGACTGCAGCA